TTATGTGACAGGTAGGAGTTGAGGGTTATGCCACTGACTTTCAGTCATGGCAGACACCTGCACCTCTGTGTCATACTGTCATTCATGCTTCCAACAGTTCATTCTTCAATGGCTCTGCATGGATTTCATCACAGACAGACCTCAGTGGGCTGAAACCCCTTCAGGTGTACAACTGGAGACAGCCTGAAGTGTAGGGATGATTATTCAGTGAGACCCTCTGGCAACAAAACAGGTATTTGCATATATAGTAGCATGAATTAGAGGCTCCAGCAGATTCAAATGGGAACAACAATAATGAGGAGGCAACAGCCCTTTTCACATAAGCAGTCATTTTTTCTGATTTGTAATGAAGCAGGAGAACAATGGACAGTGCAGGAGAGAAGATGGGTCAAGATTGAAGAGGCTTCCTGTGGAGCATTTCCAGGTACATCATTAAAGAGCAAACCTCTTGTAAATTAATGAGGAACAGATACCAACCTCAACTGCTGTCTCCATGAATTGAAATGTGTCAGATGGGTGCAGTGGCTGGAGATGAAATGGTAGAGTATAATGGAGGACTGGAGTTTCTTTTTGCTTGACCTCAGTTGCCTGCTTAAGGAGTAACTGAATACTCCTCAGAGGATATTTGAGTGTATTTTTTCAACAACTAGGCCTGACCAGTATGAAGAATAAAGGTAACTTGACCTGGCTTTATTCCCTTCAGATGAGAAACTCAGTGTACAGGTATGCCTATGGAGTCCATGTGCTTGTTTCTTTTGGCAGGTCCTTAGAGTCAAAACCAAACCCAGGCCCAGCTGTTCCTTATAATTAAATTTCAGTAACTCAAGCAGGGTGGTTTTATTTTGACTAGTGACTTAAAAGTGTTGACATTTAAATGGCCTCAGCTATATCTCAAAGTTAACACTGAGAAACTTCACACATATATTAACGTTATTTATCTGTTGGCAAACTCAACAAAATACCAGTACATTGATTTACATAGTGAAGGTTATCTTTGCTAACAGAAGGACTTTGAATTTCATTATTTAAAATATGAAGATGAATCTCATCACAGTGCAGGAGACTCAGGTGGCTTTACATGCAACTTGCCACCTGAGTCAAGGACAGAGGTGAAGTTTATATCATGCACTAAGCCCTCTGTTCAAATATACCTAAAAGATCTGAAAGCCAAAACCCACACAATCTGCAGACAGGACAGATCCAACTGTAGGATGAGGACTTTTCCATCCTGGTGGTTAGGCTTGTTTCTCTGTGTCTATCTTCCCCCTCTAATTCATTTATAAGTCCTGGATGACATTAATGCCATACATGGGCAGTTTGTGATGCAATAAACCAGTAATAGGTTCAGTTTTCATTGCAATTTCTATATCTGGGTATTTTAGTATGTTAAAATCTAGATATAAGAGGTATTAATAGTCTTATCCCAGCAGAAAGAAATTAATTTTATGTCTGCCTCTGTACAGAAGCAAAAAGCTTCAGGAAATAGGATCTCTTCCCATAAACATCTTTTCAATCTAGTTAGAAGAGGGGAAGGTAAACAATGAAACTCAAGCTTCAGGGTGACAGCACAGCAGTGAGATATGATGGCTCATGTGATAATTCATATGATTCACAATATGTTTGTGACTGGCACTTCAGTACTTGTTGTACTGATTTCGGTAGAGCCTGGTTCCTGCTTTCATCAAGTCTTGTCCCAGCCATGGCATGGAACTGTGTGAAGCCTGGCTGGGCAGAGAGGAAGAGTAACTTTTGAAAGCCTGAGTACCTCTTGCTCTGACCCAAATCCTGAGAACCAGCTTGCACAGCTTAAAGGAAGCTCAACTCTAGTGTCTTTTGCATGCAGTGATGCACTGCACCAGGTTCATGTCATGGAGCAGTATTAGGAAGCTGGCTTTACTTCCTTGCTGCAGCTAAATCTAATCCAAGACTGAATCCCCAGAGACAAGCATGGGGAATGCTTAGGAAACCTGCCCAGGAGAACCAGGTGATCATTGTGGAAAGTAAAGTGAAGTCATCACTACTAGACCTGCCATGCTTCTGGGTGAATGTTTTCCTGATTACTGCCAGCAATACTACATAACTAAGAAACAAGTGAGCACAACAGAAGAAAACAAACAAGGGAGGAGAAAAGCACCTTCTTGCCAAGACAAAGAGGGAAGAAATGAATGATGATTGCTGATGAATTATAACCCAGAATTAATGGAGAAGGGCAACAGTAAAAGCTATGCACAGAACATAAACATTTTATAATAAGGGTAAATAGTGACATTAGTTGAGTAGCCAGAACTCATTGCCCATTTACATAGTGTTTGCCTGCATTACACAGCATGGCTGATGGCAGTGGCTAGGACTAGAGCATTACCCTTGGAGGCTCTATAATTTTATCAGAAAAGTCTTTCCACAAGAAGAAAACTGTTCCAATGCTGAATGAAGGAGCTAGGTTTTGCTATTGTTATTATTGGTGTTTTAAATTTAAATCAATCTTATATACATAGCCCTGTTTTGGAAGGATGTTAAGTTACAGATGCTCAAGGGCAGCTGACAACTTAAGCACAACTAAATTGAGCCAGAATTATTAAGCAGAAGTGGAAGCAATAGCACCCTGTATTAGAAACCAGGATTATAAAATCTCCACCCATTAGACACCAGAAGGTAGATAGCTGCATATGATTATTATTAATTCAGTAAAGCCCAGAAGGTCCAACCAATTACCAGGCTCCACTGAGCACAAGGAGGCAGCACGAAGTAAAAACATGGAAACAGACCAAAACCTATCACAAGCCTTTTTGGGTAAACAGAAAGGCTTACTGACATTCTCTCTTCCTATCAGTTCAGTGAAGGTGGGCAAACCGTGACTACCACACTTTGATTACACCAAGTCAATCCTCTCCCTGCCCCACTTCCTGAGCTACAGAGTGGATCTGGGACTGGTTTTACAACATCACAAGCACTGTCATTACCTTTTGGTCTCAGGGGACCTGTGGGTGCTTAGCACATCCCAAGATCAGGGCACCTTGCCCAGTACTGAAATAAGGAGGGAAGTCCCTGCAGGTCTCTGGCTCTCCCACACTGCTGTGCAGCCCTGGCTCTCCCTCAGTTCAATGCTTCTCTTCCCAGAGTTTCCTCACCCCTAGGGGCCACAATGGATGCTCTCCAGCCTCCCCATGGTGTCCTGCCTGGACCTGCAGCCTCTAAGGTGTGCCAGACGCTCTTGCTCAAGGATTATCAACAGGGTGCTATGGTTTTACACTCTGCCCATCAGCTCGTTGTCCCATGCAGAACAATGCAGTGCCTATCCCTCTCTGTTGCTGAGGATGGCACAGGAAAGACAAGGGCACGGGGGAACAGTTTGCCTTCCTACCACAGAGGAAATCAGCCAGGAGAGGACATCTGAGAGGGGAGCGCTGAGAGTTTGCAGGGAGCTCAGCCAGGTTGCAGCATGTGCAGGTGTGCACAAACATGTCTGCAGACTTAAACCCCTGCCTCCTCTTTACTGGGTTTGCCGTGGCATCTTCGGGAGATATACTCGAGAGCTGGAAGGGGGACATTTCACTGAGCTTGGAATTTCCCTGACCCAGCAAAGAGCGATCTCGCACCTCCATTGTGTGCAAAACTTGCCTGCGGCTGCAGAGAACAAGCGCCGGCAGGAGCTGCGGGACTTGGACAAAGGTGTCCTCCTGCTGCACCTCTTGTTCCCCGCCACCCGAGCACTGATGGATCCTGCAGGGCTGTTCAGTTATGGATGTGCATTTCCAAGCACACTACAGAAAGGGAACAAAAAGAAACAAGAAGGGGGGGTGGGGGAGTGGGGCGGTAG